TCTGCTTTAGGTGAGACCCATAAAAGATGCTTGGGAAGGCTGTAAGGCCAAAAAAAAAAAAAAAAAAAAAAAAAAAAATTCATTCCATTCATTCTACTCCAGACTGGTCCTTGCTCTCAAGAAACCAATGGGTTACTGAAAAAGGCAGGCCCACAATTCCATGCCAGGTCATGTGGTAGACAATGTCACAAAGGAGAAGAGATGAGTTCCCAGAGCTTATATGAATGAGATGGGCTCCAGTCTCTGAGCAAGATCAGCAAGAGGAGAGTTAAAAGTTAGGAGCAATCCAAGTATTCAACAATATCCACCTAAAAATCGAACATCACCTTCTTACTAAGGCCACCAGCTTCTTAACCAAAACTGCACTGTTCTGCCTCATTCCATTTGTGTTTCCTTGTTTTTTTTTTTTTTTTTTTTTTTTTTGTTTGTTTGCGGTATTGGTGATGATCAATTGGGTGACTTCCTCTTAATTCCTTTCCTTAAACATGCATGCTGACTATGCTGGCTTGTTTTACATCAATTTGACACAAGCTATAGTCATTTGAGAGGAGGGCACCTCAATTAAGAAAATGCTGTAGACAAGCCTGTAGTGCATTTTCTTAATTAGTGATTGATTGGGAGGGGGCCAGCCTATTTTGTGTGGTCCCACCCCTGGACTAATGGTCCTGGGTCCTATAAGAAAGTTAGCTGAGCAAGCTGTGGAAAGCAAGCCAGTAAGTAGCACCCCTACATGGCCTCTGCATCAGCTCCTGCCTCTAGATTCCTATCCTGAGTTCTTGCCCTGATAAATGGCATGTAGCAATCTGGCAGAAGGAATCACTTGGACATTTTTTGAGCTGGAGGACAGAAACTTAAAACATGGAATGTCCAAGAAGGAAGCAGGAAAATGGTGCTGACAAAACCCAAGATTACCACAGTCGGCAAGGTCATGGGAGCACCACTGGCTAACTTGAATATCCAAGTACATTCCAGTGGCATCCTCGAGACAACAGAGGCAGCAGGGGATTCAATGTGGACACAAGGATGTTTCCAGGTGTCTGAAAATGCAAAGAATTCAGAGCCTCTGCATTTTTGATAGTAATCAGGTCAGGTATTTGACACTTGAGGTGGAAAAAAAAAATTTGTATAGTAACATCCCCTATCCCTCCTTGCCAAATATCCTAGTACCAGCATTCTTTGGTCCATACACACAGGCCACAGCTGCTTAATCTCAGCTGCCCCAGGCTGCACCTGTGAATCAGACCAGGCTAATCACACTAACAGATGGCAGAGGCCAAGTAGCCAGCTAAGAACTGCTATCACTTTAAATAGCATCTAATGTTTCACAGGGCCCCTCCCTGCAGCAGTATCTCCCTGGTACAGCTAACACCAGCCCTTAATCACCACACAGCACCCATCTCAGGGACAGAGCTGGTGTCATTTGAGAGCTAATTACCAAAAGCCCCATTGCAAGGTGAAAGTGTGGCAACCTTAATGGGGTGGCACCATTACACACCGTGCTCTGCAGCCTGATCCTTCTACACAGATGCTGAGCAGTTAGGCAAGTAGCCATAGCAATAGCCCCAGAGGTCCCCATCAGGCAAACTTGGAGACACTGAGATTCCAATCACTCGGGCTTGGTTGTTACATAAGCTATACCTGCTGTTACACGTCATGACATCACACATGCTCCTGACAATATTGTCAGGCAGCATGCTTGACCCAGCACAGAACAGTTCCCAGGTGTGCCAGCAAAACCAAGTGGGTGGAAGCTGCTGTCTCAGCCCCGGAGGTACCCACATGTGGTACCACTTGAGAGCTGTAAACAACTGTGGATAACCACCAGTACCAGTCTTTGAGTGACTTGCCTTTACTCCCTGGTCACTATAATAAAACTTGCTACTTTCTGCATTAAGGGTACCTGTGCCAGCAGCCAGCCCCAGTGCACTTCCAGAGCCGGTTTGGGAGGGTTCTACCTCCTGCTTCTGGCAGAGCCAAAGAACATCAACTATGAACAACATATTCTGCTGAGCCTGTGTTGTTATCAGAGGATAGTAAGAAAGGTAACAAGCTCCTTCAAAGCTGTCACAACTCACAGTAGCACACACTTTCACTTGCCTTCTTGGTTTTTATGAACATGGCTAGTAGTTTCTGCCTGTTTGGGGCAAATGTGTGTGTGTGTGTGTGTGTGTGTGTGTGTGTGACACAGACACGGACACACACTCCCATGCCCCTAACCAGCCAAGTCTGAAGACAAGCTTAAGGAACACACATTTCTAGAGGGTTCCCAAGCAATGCTGACACTGCTGATCCAGACCCACTTTGAAAACCACTTTCCTACGTATTCACTCTCCTTAAAGTAAAAATTATATTCTCCAAACTATTGAGACTTAAGAACAAAGCCAAATACTCATTGGAGTTGACAATATTCACCCCAGGACCTAACAACATTCTCTCTGTTAGCGAACCCGGGCTATGTGATGATGTTTTCAATAAATGGTACAGGAATAACAATATTCAGAGGCAAGAGAAAATAAATCTAGGCATAGACCTTGCAAATGGGTCATAACTGGGATATAAATGCAAAGCAGGAAGCTATAAAACCCTTCAAGGACTGCCTTTGAGTTCACTCCTGACATCTCAGAGACAACACCAAAGGCATGAGGGGACCCACAAGAGAGCTGATAAGCAAGGCTTAAAATGCTCGCTCTGGGAGGCACTATTGAAACACAGGTATTCATTCACACACTAGGAGAGAGAACTTGAATAAAGAAAAGGAGCAGAGGACTGCTATCCAAAACATAATCTCTTGAAACTCAACAATCAGAAAACAACCAACACAATTAAAAAAATAAGCCAGCGCATTTACCAGACACTCAAAGAGCACATGGAGATGGCACTCAGACCATCATGAGGAAAAGCATTCTAGGATGGCAGAAATCCAGAGCACCAGCATCACCAAATAAATGCTGGCAGGGATGCAGATCGAGGGGAGCTCTCCTTCATGGATGGTGGCAACGTAAAATGTTGTGGCTGCTTTGGAAAGCGGTTTGGCAAGCTTCCAATGAATCTGAACTTAACCACAGCATCTAACAGCTATGTTCCAAGGAGAAGAAGAGGAAGTGCGTATCTAAACAAACCCACACCTACTATGGCATCTCTACTCGTGACTGCCAAACCTAGGCAACAACCAAGACGTTTTTCAACAGAGGGTTGCATAAACCCTGTACATACAAATTAGGGGATACTATTCAGTACTGAGGAAGAATTAGCTGAATTTTGTGGAAAATTCAGGGGGAAAGAATGTAATGCATATCACTAGAGGGAAGATGTCAACCTGAAAAGCCTACATAGTGTATGAATCTAGCATATGATATTTCTGAACAGGCAAAGCTATGAAAAGATGGTGGTGGCTAAAGGCTAGGTGGGTGTATGTTAGTACTGTGTGTGTGTGTGTGTGTGTGTGTGTGTAAGTGATGCTTAGCAATGTTTAGGACAATAAAAATGTGTGTGATAGCACGATAGAGATGTATTGTTATTCATTTGCATAAGTCCCAGGGCCTACAGTGAACCCTGAGGATCACAGACCTCCTTGGGCTCCAGTGCTAAGTTGATGTGGCCTCTTCAGAGGTGCAAACGGGAGACCTGGGGCAGGGTATGTGGGTAATCTCTTAATTTTGCTGTGAGCTATCTTAATTGCAAGCTTTTTCTTTCTGATCCTCCTTCCTCCACGCCTGGAGCTGGGACAACAGGCATGAGCCACTGTGCTCCGTCATGTAGTGCTGGGGACTGAGAGGAGGGCTTTATTCACGCTGCTGGGTAAGCACTTTACCAATCAAGGTACATTACCAGCCCTGAAACATATTTTTAAGGCCATGGGTTCATTTTAGTAACTAATTGCTATTATCTATAACTCATTTAATTCACTCATGGCCAAATTTTTTTTTAAAAAAAAAAAAAAAACCTTAATACAACAGGCAAGGGGGAACAGTCCAGCTCTACCTGGAGAAGGTAACCGATCCTGTGTTTTGCCTCTTTAAGGAACGAGTCTTCACTAGCGCTGAGTCTTGGAAGCACGTGCTGTCTCCTTCAGTCTCCCTAACTTCCCAGAAAACATGGCTGCCATTCCCATCTAAAGTCCAGACAGCAAATGAGTAGTGAATCAAGACCGGAATCTGGCTGCCCAGCTCCAAGAAGCTGGCCATGTTATTCTTACCCAGAAAGTCAGCACCCTCAAGAGTGAAGCCCAGTGCCCACTGCCCTGAGACACGCCAGTACTCACCCCCTTTCTCATCACCGTCCTCAAAGTAAGACGTGCTCTCTTCCCCTCAGCATGAGGCAGGGTTGCAAAGGCTGGGGTCTCTCAGCCTCAGAGCATGTGTGCTCTGGCCCAGATCATCTTGTTAAGCTATACACTGCGTGTAAGGAACATCTCTGACCTCCAACCACGAGCAGCCACCAGGCCCCATGGAGGACTTTCCAAAATAGATCAGACAGGCAAGGTGGCTCACACCTGTGGGCCCCAGCACTGGAGAGGCTCATGGAAGGATCACACAAGCCCAAAAGTTCAAGTTCAGCCTGAGCAACCTTGTCTCCATACATGAATAAACCAGCAATAACGATGCAATACTCCAGGGAGGGAGGAGTGGCAATCACTCCTAAATCAGGAAGGGCATGATGGGGGCTATGAAGAAAACCAAGATGGCCACAAGTCCTACTAGTGGTCTATCTGTGAACACTGAGAGACCAAAGAAGAAAGTAAAACTACAGACCAGACAGAAATAGTGTTTGGAAGGAGAGCCGTGGACACAAGAAGAAAGGACAAGTGGCGAGAGGGTGGACAGCGACACAGTTTATTCTCAAGTTGGAAAATAGGGACAGCAGACATGGAGCGGGGCAGTGTGGGTCAAGGGACACAGCACGGTGGTTTGGAGGAGCTGACAGAAGACAGGTGAGGGCTCCACAGACTCCACTCCCCTCGGCACTCCTCTCTCGGAGACCTTCAGAGGCAGGTTACTTACTCTGGTTGTTCCTGTTCTCATTGACAAAGTCTTCGGAGCTATCTGTGTCGTCCTCGTCATCTCCAGATGAGATGGCATCTGCATTCAAAAGAACATATCCATGGATGCGTTTGCAAAGGCAAAAGTCACCATCACCTGCGGCTCAACTACCCAAGAGCCCAGGAGGAATGTCAGAGACCTTGTATTGTTAAGACGGTTTTAGTGGCTTAAAGTGTCTCTGTGATGTGTCCATCTGACTCCCACGGTTTTCTCCTATCTAAAATTAGGATGGTTTTTTGGTTTTTGTTTTGCTTTGTTTTTGAGCTTCAAACAGTATACAAATCACCAACAATTTTTAAAAAATTTTAATGACTTTATTTATTTTTATTTTACATTCACTGGTATTTTGCTTGCATATATTTCTGTGTGAGGGTGTTGGATCCCTTGGAACTGTAGCTACAGACATTTTTGAGCTGCCATGTGGGTGCTGGGAACCTCTGGAAGAGCAGTTGGTGCTTCCAGTTGTGAGTCATCTCTCTAGCACTACCCCTACCCCAACAAATTTTGGCTCTGTAATAGTGAATCATTGGTTTTATTCTCCCTTTTCAGCATTTGGGGTTCCCTTCAAAATAGAAATGACTCCCTAACAAAACGCAGTTTCCTGTGTGGGCCTTCTGATTGCTAGCTAACATTCTGAAGGCAGAATTCCCAACTGGCCACCAAGGAGGCCTGCTGCTACCCATCCCTTCACTATAATAACAAGGAGAAATAATAAAGGAACTGAAATCTAGATCATCTCATTTTAATTCTATACTGTAAATGCCAAAAATGCTGGGAGTGTGTGGGGGGTGAAGAGGACTCTGTGTGCTCTACCTTGGAATATGTCTGTCACGTGAGAAATCTGTGGCACACCAGGGCCCAGTGAGGAATTTCAGAAGTAGATCAGCCCAGCATAGTAGTCTATGCCTGTGGTATCGGCGTGTGGGTGTGTGCGCACGTGTATGTATGTATGTATGTATGTATGTATGTATGTATGTATATAGGTAGGTAGGTTGGGGAAGGGGATGGTGGGAGGCTGATATGAGCCTAGGAGCTCAAGTTCAGCCTGGGCAACAAAGGAAGACCTTGCCTGGAATGAATACCAAACTGACATTTTACGTGCCTGGCAGTCAATGAGTACAGCTCACTGTGATTTCACTTGGCCAAAAATAATAGCAACTTTCAATCAGAAAACAGCTACAGAAGAGACAGAGTGTCACACTTGCAAGCCCACTCACCTGTGACATTCACCATGAAGTACCAAGTGTCACTGTCTACCGTCCTAGCTGTAGTACAAGCATAGAGGCCGGAGTCTCTAGGTGTGGCGCCTTTTATCTGCAAGTACTCCCCAATAAGCACTGTCCTATTGCTGGGCCCCAAGTGCACCCCATCCTTAGTCCAACTGATCACCGCGGCATCTTTCAACATGCAGTGCAACTCTAGCGACTCCCCGGGGGCGACCACGTACGATTCTGGTTGGGAGATTTGGTATTTTGTTGGTGGCTCTGCAGAACAGGTGGGAGAGAGAAGACAGAGGCAGATGGGAAGGAGGGAGAGGAGAGAAGGTTCAACAAAGGTCAGTGGAGGCCAGTTCTTTCCCAGGAGACACTGTGCTTGTTTTACGAATGGCCTTGGAAGGTGCCCATCTCTCACCACACCCCAGAATCCGGGAAGCAGCCCCCACTCAGACTTGACTGGCAGCCCTGGAAACAATGGCCACAGAAGCAGCCAGAAGCTGACCTGTGTTGGTTTGTTTCTACATAGTGTAAATAGGGCTTTAAAAAACCAACCATGTCCCAGAGAAGAAGGAAAACCCACAAGGAAAGTCTAAAGGCGATTGATTGTCGGGCTAGTCATTCAACATGAGGTGTATGTGATACATGTTCTCTGTCTGTCTGTCTGTCTCTCTCTCTCTCTCTCTCAGACTGACTTAACTACTTACTCATGTTTCGTTTAGCCTGTTACCACAGAACCAAGGTTTTCAATGTGAAATGTCTCAAATTCAAGAGCAAATGGGCCTACGAATTCTTGGCCATTTAGGAAGTGGCAACTATCGGCTTGCTCATTTTTGTTAGCTCTCAGGGTCCAATCAGTATTGAGCTGGTTCTGTACTGGGTGAGCTGGGAGATGCTGTCTTCCTCAAAACCATAGATACCTGGATACCTTTTACATCAAAAGAAAAGAAAAGTCCCTGACAATTAATGGCCCCCTATACTGCGAATCAGCTTTTGGATAAGGATGTCCACCTCTCACATTACTAGTGAAGCCAGAGCCATCCTGCCCCAGTCCCCAGTCTCCTCAACATCCTTCTCTTCTTTATGAACACAACACCTTCCCTCCTGCTCCTGTTCAGCCCAGCTCCTCCTCTGATGCCCAGATTAATCATGGTCCTCCCTGATCCACCACCCCATATCAGTCACCTGGCTGGAAATAAAAGAGGTCTCTCCCACTCTAAAGTCCATCTGCCTGCCCACCCCACCCACCCACACACAAACTACTGGGATCCACACATTGCCTGTGAATGTTCTGACTTCCTGAGGAAACCTTGGAGTCCCATGTGGGAAAGCTCAATTCTAACAGGTCTTCATGCCCCTCTCCCATCTCCATCCTACGGCACCTTTGACATACACAAAGAAGGCAGGCGTATTGAATGCTATCACAGTCCTCGAAGAGGCAGAGCTGGATGAGAGACCACTGGCCTTCCTCAGGGCCAGGGTGACCCTGAGTGCCCTTGAAGTAAGCTTTCATGCTCACAGTGAGAGCTGTGAATGGTACCCAGAGTCCCGAGCCCAGAAAACACAATGCTTTCCATCCATTCTGGGACAATTCCAGATCTGGGCAGCAACATCACAAGGCACTTATTCTGCCCAGAGCCCACTCCAAAGAACAAATCTCCCACATGACTAAAAGACAGTCCATTCATGCTTTAGTCCCACTATTTAATACACATCTGGTCCAAGAAATACCAGCACAGCAGCAGCCAACACAAGGGGCCTGGGGCTTTTCACAGGGGATCCCCTCCAAATGCACACAAGCCAAGAGAGGCACAGAAAGAGGGAAATCCACATGAGGAAGAAGGTAGGAGTCGATGAAACAGAGAAACAAAAGGCAGGGGTGGGGTGGGGGTGGGGAGGCAGAAAACAAGACCCAACTGACAGCCGGGTAAGGCTTAAGGGTTTGTTTTTCTCACTGGTTCGCTGTTTATTGAACATCTACCACAGGCCAAAGTTTGTTCTGTATGCTCAGGAAGCAACGGGAGACAAGGCAGAGTCCCTGCCCTGGTGGACCTTCCACTCTAATGGGGCAAACGAAGGTAAATCGGAAATTGACAGAAAATATGAAGTGTGTGAGGTAGTCTTAGGGTGAGACACCTAGGTAGCAGACAGACCACTTAGAAATGGTGGGTGAAGGCCCCACGGGCTGCAGGAGCCAGCAAAGCATGGCTTGAGGACCAAGCCAGCCACTAGCTTTCATAAACAAAGACTTCTTGGAGCAGTGCCATATACTCCTTCGGGTATGTATTGTCTGGGGCAGCTTTTGTATTACAAGGGCAGGCTGGAGTCATTGCAAAAGAGGTCTCATGGCCTGCAAGCATCAAACACTAAAAGTGTTGCCCTCACAGAAGGTGTTGCAGCTTCTGTTGTAGGAGGTGATGGGAGTAGCAGGTACCCTGTGTGCTGACAGGCAAAGCACAAAGCCAGGTTTGAAAAGTGTAGAGAGTTCAGTTGGAAGGTTCTCAGATCAGGTCTCCCAGGTCTGTTTAAAACAAGAGGTGACTGAACTGAGCAGCTAACAGAATGAGGGAGCGGCAGGTCTGTCAGGACAGCTCAGAGGATGAAGGCACGCTTGCCCAAAGCCAAGACTGCTTCCCAAAACACACAGAAAGGTAGAAAGAGAGGAGGAAACTGACCTACAGGACTGCCCTCTGACCTCCACATATGCAACGTAGCATGTGTGCCAATACACACACACTCATACATCATACACACACTCAGTCACAACAATAATAAATGCCAATAATAACAAGGAAGAGAAGGAAAAGAAATGCGGAGAGGAAAGGGGACTCAATTTGACCCCAAGTCTCACATTTGTCCCAGCCACTCTAGTCCCAGCATGTCTGAATGAAAGATTCACACATTAGAAAATGGTAGGGCCTTAAAGGCTACCCTACCCACTGAGAAGCCCTTCCTCTACATGATACCAACCAAGGCTCAATACTCGCTGAATTCAGAATGCACTGCCAAACTATGCTGGACCAATTCAACCATACTGCACCACCATTTCCAGTTCTGCCATGAGAAACACAGGCTGGAGAAGGGCTCCCAGGTAGCACAGGACACGGGATGCTTGGTAAAGGGGCACTGCCCTGGGTACAGAAGGACTCCTGAGTGCATTTCCACTCTGCTCTGCACAGTCTCTCAGCCATAGGGTCTCAAGATACAGGAATACCCAGGCATTATATGTAAGGCACTCAAGAGCCATGCACTCTGGAAACTTAATCTGGCAGTCACAATCCACTGAGGCAATGTCAGTCATCCCACTGTGGTTCTAAAGCTGAAGGTTTTAACCATGGCTGTGGCAAGACGTCATGTCCAGAAAACAATGAGGAAACAACTGAGTTTTATCTCAAGACTTCACGGATGGGCTCGCATCTCAATGAATGATGAGGACAGCCTGCCATGCTCAAAATAGGATCTGATTTCTAGTGGAAACTCTCTAGTTTCCCAGGAAGATGACTGGCTTCTGAGACAGCAAAGTATCTTCTGCAAACACATAAGAGAGATAAGCATCTATGAAGTCAAGCCATTCTAAGGCCAAGGCTTCCTCCAAGGCAACTGCCTTGGATAAGGTGGACCCCTCCTGCCTCCGCGATGTCCATTCCACAAGAAGACCCACTTAAGGGCAGCAGCATCAGTAGTAAGCAATGCTACCTCCTCCTTGGGCATCCTACAAAGGAGGGAGAACAGGTGAAGGACAACAAGAGAGGGAGAGGGGAGGGTTAAACACTGCAGAGTGAGGGAAGAGATAATAGAGAAGGACATTGAGGGATGGACAGAACCTTAATAAGGAGGAGGAAGAGCAAACCAATGGCATCCCAGGCCATCTACTGTCCCCACTGATCCAGCTGGTAGGTCCCTGAAAGTGGAGCACACATGAGATCCATCACGGGCCAGGGTACTAAGAACAGGGGACCCAAGAGGCATACTGGGAAGAAGCTATCCTGTTCCTGCCTGGCCCTGGAGCCTTGCTTGAGAGCTGAAGCCTTCTGTCTGTCCCAAATCCTTCAGAGAACTTCAGGGCTGGCTACTCACACATCACTTGCTGCTAGAGTCCTGTGGTATCACATACAACTCTACATGGTAATTACCTCATAGTGTAATAAGGGGTCAAGACAACAAAGACACCGTGCTTAACACACCCTGCCTGTCTCTCCCACTCAGGCAGCCTTCTGACACAGGCTGCTCCTTGCCTGGCTCTACCAAGCTGCTCTGTGTAACACATGACAATTGACATAGGACAAGGAACTCCCTGGGAAATCCAAACAGTCCCTTTTATAGCAATATCAACATTCCTGATGCCATGGCTTACAGTTCCCTTTTCCTTAGAGCACTCACTTCCAAACTCCCTCCTCTGCACTCGCCACAGCACAATGGGGAGAGAGTTCCAGAAGCAACTCTTCTTGACACTAAATGTTCTTTAGGAAGTTTCCATAGACCAAAAAAAAAAAAAAGCATGCTCACATACATTTTTTCATATTAAATGGAAACTTGGAAAGAAGCATGGGAGCTAGGCCATTCACTGTCATTGTTACCTAAACTCTCCGAACAAATAAGGAGACAGACATGTTTACTTTCTGGGAGGGATCCACTCAGCTGTTTCTACCTGCTACAAACACATCAGTGGCTGGAAGCTCTCCCATGCGGAGGCTTAGCTGTGTTTCTACCCACAGGTTCTAATCCCTTGAGACATGCCAGCAGTTTCCATGTAGTAGGATATTTTCAGTGAGTTGAATACCCTGATAGTCATTAAAAAAAAAAAAAAAAAAAAAAAAAAAAAGAGTCCTTCACAAAGTCTGAAGTCAATAATGAAAATATCAACTGTGTTGGGGCATGGTGGCACTCAGTGGGCATTTAAGAGGTCAGGTTAGGAGGGTCATGTAAGTTCAAAACCTACATCATGACATCAGCTTCAGAGTGAGTTTAAGGCCTACCTAAGCTGCAGCAGAGTACACTCAAAGCCAGTGAGAAAAGTATATATATTCCTCTCATCCTGCCATGAGCCTACTTTCTGTGCAAGACATCCCTCATGCCACTATTCCTTGGAAGGTAATGGAGGATTTAGAAATGAGGGGCTTCGGACCCAGGTTTCTAAAAGGAAGACTAAGGCAGAATCTTCCTGACCCCCCCCGACCCAAGTCCCTCTGTAGATCCAGGGAGGTCATAGCTTCTGGGTGGGACCTACCTGGATGTTACCAGTGACAACTTGTGTGTGTTTACCCTCCTAT